TGAATAGAGCATCAGTCTTGTTCATCACAGAGACCCATTCAACTTCTTTTATACGTCCTGGATACAGTGAATTTAAGTGCCCCTCAATGCTTCACCCCAGCCCACGAACTTTTTCAGTTTGAGAAGACAGATGGCCTTGAGTTTGGTGGTGGGTATCTAGGCCCACGCAAGGGTAAACGAGCAACGGGTCCACGAACCCCCCGCGGGGTTCCCTACATAGCCCTGTCTGTTATTCTCTTTAGCCTCACTTGATTTGTTTGGTTTTCCTCTTCCTACTTCTCTGCATCATTTCAGATCCTTTTTTATTCCAGCAGGTTACCCCGTGGTTTGGAATGAGAGGTAAGCACTGCGGGCCTGTGAGTAAGCAAGTGACGACGATGAGGTGAATCGCGGGAACCTGTGCACTCGTCAGTTTTGTGTTTTTTATGCTTAGGACATTCTTTTGGCTTGATTCCCCTTGGATGGGTACTTATATCCTGTTACAGGGAGATATGCAAATGGTTCCGTTTAAGATGCATCACAGTTCTTTAACATAACTATCCGTGTCCAGACTGCGGCATCTGAGGCAATTCAGCTGGCCAAAAGTCAAAAACTCATCTCAAGAATAGCGAATCATCAATAATTATTCGCCGAGGTGGGTTGAGAAATAGGATCTGGTGCTAAATCTCAGCGTTCTTGTATTAAGTGAAGGCGGTGCCAACTGCGGGAGCCATGGAAACGCACACACAAAAAGGCTTGGCCTGCTCTTCTACAGCCGCCAGCGAGATCATTTTATGGTTAACTGTTTAACGCGATAACAACGCACGATGAGGAAAATTGCCGCCACATGATTTTGGATGCCTTTGTCTTGAACCGTTTTCTTTCACATTCCCACCCACTGTCTTTGGAGCGAGAAGCAGGAAATGAGGCGGCAAAACCAAGCACAAAAGTGAGTCAGTATTATTCTTCCACGAGACGGGTAGAGATAAAGAACTTCCAGGAATCTTCCCCCGGTCATGGACCAAAATAAAACAACGATCTTGGTGGCTGCGCGTAGAAAAGTTAAACGGTTATGGCCACGTCTTGGGTCGCAGTGAGCCGCCTGGATAGTTTACTACACCAGTAGCCTAAAATATACACCACACATCATTCTGAGACTGGTAAGCGTCAGTCGCGCAGAGAAGCTTTTGGCCACCTGCATAACGGTGTTCGTCTTGTGCGCCGCTTTCATTGCGGAGTGCGAAGACCATGACAGAAGACAGCCAGATACCCAGATCTTCATTTTTAGTCCACCTAGGTGACACACGATGCCACACTTCGCCAAGCAACACGAAGGCTTTTCTAGAACATTTGTGCACTTCTCGTCGCTAGAAGGGCAGTGACAGTTCAGCGCTTCAACTAAAAGTACACACTCGGAACTAGTTGTAGTCGGTCTTCAGAAAGTTGGGCTCTAACCGATGTCCAGCGGTTGTCTGTGGTATTTCAAGTAGTTGCTCGCCAGCTGATACGATGTCTCTTGGATTGTGTATGGGGATGAAGTCATCAAGTCCCCTTCGGTATGCGAATTCGACCTGGCTAGTTATTTTCAGACAGGTCATCTCTCAGAATTCCACATCGTTTTGAGGCTAGACACATCTGTGTGTTTGAAAAACGAGTCGTTGAGATGAGATCGGAGATGTGAAAGGTGGCGCAGCGGGCTCTAGAAGTCCTCCCCGGATGGCTCACCGATGGGCCCTGCGGAGTCATAGTGATCACTGTGGCCAGGTGGGACACTGGTTTAATATTTTCGTAAACACACTTTTCTTAGGGATGTGTCGACTGATGACGGTTTCTGACGTGATCGACACCTGAGAGTTATCCTTACATTTTTGCGCCCATGTGTTGCACGACTTAGCTAATACTACCCAACATAGTGAGGTTCAATCCATGGGCACTGTGGTCGTTTAATAGAAACAAGTGTGCGCTGTGGTAATTTTACGGATTCAGGCTCTGCGTAGTAGGCAGGTCTTTCTCCATGACTGCGGTAGACCACGCTCAGAACGTGTGTGCTTTGAGCGTGGGAACAGAACCCAGATGAAATCAATTAGGTTGGATGTAGCCATTTGGAAGACAGCAGTTGGATTAGTGGATTTGTATCGAAGCGATTTACTGGCATCCAGACTGCTTTTGCCGAATAAAAGAACAACTACCCACCGTACACATAAATACTACCTGTCGAAGTTCATGAATTTGAGGATTCAAGCACAAACGCCCGGGTTCTCCCATGTCAGTCCCGAGAAAAATCCCGAGTTGCCTCCGGATTACGGGGATTCATGTTATTTGGCCGCGTGACGGTTCGCCACATTTTGTCAGAAGTCATTTTACCACTTAAGATGCGGAGATTAGGACTACGCATACGGCGTATCATCACGAGCGGACCCAATTTCTATGGTATTATAACTGCACTCACTCATGCCACGCTGACAGCGACTGTTTCAGCCAGGAAATGGTAATATGTAAAGAAGTCAATTTGTTGAATGGACATGTACTCCTCGGCGCTGGTCTATATGACGCGCTTGACGCAGGCACCGGCCGCGCTTTCAGTGTGCATATGAATTGGTAATGACACGCAGACGGCTTACCGCTATACATCTCAAGCCTCAGTGAATCATTGACGTCCATTCCACAGGTGACACATCGACATATAACAATTGCACTCAGCGTGATCAACAGCATCGCGAACTGCAGATTCCCGGGCCTAGCTTAAGTACTAGGTTTAGGTCTCTACCGTCAACCGCCGGTAGACACAGAAAAATAAGTTTTGTATTTCATATTTTGAAGATTTTTGCCCACTGCACCCTAACCTGCCACTCACCGCATTTTATCCGGCATTTCTAGAAGGGAAGACTAAGGAGTGACTTATCCTGAACAAGTATTTTATTCAGCATGAAGTTGTTATTTCACGTTCGCGCATTGGTTGCTAAACTCCATCCGCAATAAGCTCACCATTACGGTGGGCAGGACGTTGAACGACGCCATACAGACTGTCCAGTCAGTGTGGGTGATGCCGACTATGTGTGGAAAAGTAGCGCCCCAATAGGCTTGTTTCGTTACCTTGTCACGATGCCCTTGAACCAATCGTCTTGTGCCTCTGTGTAGATTTGCGTATACCTAGTTGTGCTCATTTCGCGTTTGTCTGAGAATAATCGGTCGGATTGATTGGCCACCCACCAATGGAGACCGGTGGCCTTCGAGGGAGTAAGATTCACCATTGTCAGGTTTGAGGATGGCGTCGCCACTCCAACCGCATGCATGCATGTGGTTGGCCATCCGGCTTGTAATGTCCGTAATCCGTTGTCACATTAATTCACCAATTTTCCTGTATCTAAACTACATTGTGTAACTGTTGTACACATTTTATCATGACGTTTGTTTTATTGTGCCAATAATTACATCAAAAGAAAAATGGTACAAATACACAAATTTTCGGCGCGTATTGATTACTTCTTGCTGACACGATGGTCGCAATCTTTAAGCTATGCTCTCAGTCTGAGACAAATTCCTTACCTGTGAAACTGCTGCCGCCTTACTTAATACTCAACTACCCTCTGACCCCCTCTACGAATCAGGTCCCGTACGCACATGAGTTAAGCGACGTTACAGTTAGTAGGCAAGTAAAGGATCCTGCTATCATTTCTTCCCATCCTCTTGACCCGCTTTAAGCTAACCAAGGACCGAATGCCAACTTGAACTAAATATTCAGCGTTACTGGCCTGGTTGTCTTCTTTTTATCTTTTTCCCCGTACCAACTTACACCTCGTACTAGTCTAGTTCCTACACCGGACTACTCTATAAACTCTGTCTAGCGTCTACTGTTCTCGTCCAAACTCTACTGGCAAAAACCAAATCAAAATTAGCTATTTCTTCCCCAAATCACTGCACGACTTAATCACCTACTAATTCTAAT